AGACGAATATGGACTGCAAGCCTGCGCTGTGGAATATCTGGTGGTCGGCACTCTAGACACGACGAAGTCAATGACATCATTAAAAGGAGCCTTGCCTCTGCTCAGTGTCCAGCGGAGAGAGAGCCCTGCAATCTATTGAACCGTAACTGCTATCTTTGCCGGCCGACTGGACGGAATGACCAGACAAGGAAATAGATCATCGGTACAACTTCGTTCTAATAGTTCTAATTCTTCTAATTCTAGTTCTAATTCAACTTCTATATGTAATAGGATCTGAGACCCTAGATCCATGGGAAGAGAGCGCAAGAAGGTTTCTTAAGGACGTTGGTTCTAGGCTCATTGACACTATACCAGAGACCCCTAGAGCAGCAGGTTTTCTCTTTCAGCGTCTCACAGTAGCAATCCAGAGGGGACATGCCTGCTGCGTCCTCGGTTTCTATCCGGCGTCGAAGGAGTACGAAGAAATCTACAACTTTCCCTTATTTCCTCTTAATGTTCTCTTTTTGTAAACAATCAGATATGTAAATGTGTAACCTTGTGTGTATATATATATATATATATATATATATATATATATATATATATATATATATATATATATATATATATATATGTTGCAACCCGTTCTCGCAAATTTAATAAGTCAATATTGACTTGTTAAATATGTGCATAGGTGACATACTTAACATAATAGATACCCTTAAAAAGATTCATAGAAAACACCGACCTTACCTAACCTACTTAGTATGTTAAGATAAGCATCTTATTGCTTCGTAATTACAATTATTACCTAACCTATAATAGGTATAGGTTAAGTAATAATTGTAATTACGAAGCAATAAGATGCTTAAGATACTAACAAGGTTAGGTAAGGTCGGTGTTTTCTATGAATCTTTTTTAAGGGTATCTATTATGTTAAGTATGTCACCTATGCACATATTTAATAAGTCAATATTGACTTATTAAATTTGCGAGAACGGGTTGCTATATATATATATATAGTGCTGTTGAAGAAACTGTTGCATGTTTGGCTACTATTTGTCATGTGCGAGAAGTAATGTACCTATAAATAAAACTATTGGATGCGGTGATCGAGATGCCTGTTGTGGTGTTGGGCAGGTATATGGACTTTTGTATCATATATACACTCTCTCTCCCTCACTCTATGGAAAACAGAACCACAGTTTCGGACTTCAGTGGAGTCGCTATAGGAACTAATTTTTTTTAGTCGAGGCAATTGGAGCGACCCCGGACACACCTATGACAGTCCCCTACCACCAGCGTGTCATTCTGAAGAGCTGGGTAAGGTTATATCCATGCTTTATACTATTGGTCTTGATTACCCGAGGACTGAATTGGCTAGTTCAGGTACGCTAGGCTGTTGCACGTTGTTAAGGGAGGCTGAGATACTTCAGGTTGAGGCAGGTTAGGCTAGGGTAGGGAAGGTGACACTAGGGTAGGGTAGGTTAGGCTAGGGTAGGGTAGGTTAGGCTAGGGTAGGGTAGGTTAGGCTAGGGTAGGGTAGGTTAGGCTAGGGTAGGGTAGGTTAGGCTAGGGTAGGGTAGGTTAGGCTAGGGTAGGGTAGGTTAGGCTAGGGTAGGGTAGGTTAGGCTAGGGTAGGGTAGGTTAGGCTAGGGTAGGTTAGGTTAGGCTAGGGTAGGGTAGGTTAGGCTAGGGTAGGGTAGGGTAGGTTGCTCTCGTTGACTCACCGTTCAAGCCGTTAATTAACGGTTAAATCAACGTCAGTCCTGGACGCTGCGCGCGCAGGGTCCAAAACAGTTGAGCAACGGTTCATCGCGTCCGGCCTGACGTCACTACATGCATTGTGACGTCACTGCATAGAGTGACGTCACCGCACGTAGTGTGACGTCACTGCGTGTTCCGCCAGTGGCGGCAGGTGACTGGTCCGGGAGTCAGTATCGGCCCAGACAGCGTTGAGGGAGGACGCAGACGGTCCAGGCCTTCAATTTCTCACAACATTATTTCCGCTGACAAGTTGACCTCATAGTTCCCGCACATAGGTAAGGTTACAGGGCAGAATCAGGATCCGTCAAGTCTTTACGAAACCTGTACATCTTCCCTTAATCATTGCGGCTGTGTTTGCATTTATTAAGCAGTTTACAAGTTTGGAAACGTTACAACCGGAGGTTAATATAACCCTCCAGAGGTTGTTAGGCCTTAATAACCCTCCAGAGGTTGATAGGTCTTAATAACCCTCCAGAGGTTGTTAGGCCTTAATAACCCTCCAGAGGTTGATAGGTCTTAATAACCCTCCAGAGGTTGTTAGGCCTTAATAACCCTCCAGAGGTTGATAGGTCTTAATAACCCTCCAGAGGTTGATAGGCCTTAATAACCCTCCAGAGGTTGATAGGTCTTAATAACCCTCCAGAGGTTGATAGGTCTTAATAACCCTCCAGAGGTTGATAGGCCTTAATAACCCCCCAGAGGTTGATAGGTCTTAATAACCCTCCAGAGGTTGATAGGCCTTAATAACCCTCCAGAGGTTGATAGGTCTTAATAACCCTCCAGAGGTTTATAGGTCTTAATAACCCTCCAGAGGTTGATAGGTCTTAATAACCCTCCAGAGGTTGATAGGTCTTAATAACCCTCCAGAGGTTGATAGGTCTTAATAACCCTCCAGAGGTTGATAGGTCTTAATAACCCTCCAGAGGTTGATAGGCCTTAATAACCCTCCAGAGGTTGATAGGCCTTAATAACCCCCCAGAGGTTGATAGGCCTTAATAACCCTCCAGAGGTTGATAGCTTTAACCCTCCAGAGGTTGATAGCTTTAACCCTCCAGAGGTTGATAGGCCTTAATAACCCCCCAGAGGTTGATAGGTCTTAATAACCTATTATGTAATCCTTATGTAATCAATTCCAATCAAAACATACCATTTTAATTACGTTAATGATAATTAGCGATGACAATTGTTTAAGTTAATTAACTCATCTGGACAGTCAATAAATCAAGGTACTTTACTATAATTGCAATCATCAACAGTCAAACAATCCAACAAGGCTTAACTACATTAATTGCTTATAACAACATCATTAAACAATCAGTGAGTAATCACCCCAATTACTGTCAGCTAATTAAACACGCGGTGATTGACGCTAATTGCTTCTCACGTAGACAACCTGAGAAAGATTAACTATGCATCACATTACGTTAATTACTAACACAAATTACGTCTCACTGGTTCTTTAATTAATCACAAACTAGTACAATACCGCGTCACGTAGACCAACAAACTCAGTAGTCAATCACAGCTCTAAACTCTAGTGTTAAATGACCTCAACACAGCACTGTTACACTAATTAATGACTACAATTACCACACAGAGACTTGCAATCACGGGTAATTAACTGGGTAATCACCCAGTTTACAATCTGTTTTCTCCTAGAACGAGAAAGAAAAGGGTACCATACACGGACATGATTATACACAATGATGGTATATATTAAACTACACAATTACAATACATATAGTTATTATAAATCACGCTAATAATATGTAAATGTGTAGAAAGTGTAATATTACACTCAGGCCAACTACAGTAATCATAGACTTACTGTAAGTGTCGTACTTACCTGCTGCCTCACCTGGCTAACTGTCCCGTGGCTGGCTGACGAGGCAGTAAGGTTGACTTGTCTTCAGCACAAGGAATATCCACTTCTGATCAAGATACAGTAATTAGTTACGGAACACTCACTGTGATAACCGGTTTACATTTACCCAATCTCTCTCACACTCTGTGTAACTGCTGGCGTGGGGGGGGGGGCAGTCACTGGCTCACACAGGATAGCGTATCGGTCACAGGAAACTATATACTGTATCTTAAATTCCTCCTAACAGTTTCTTGAGCGATATGTTGACGGATCGTTAAAGGTTAACATGGACTAGTAACAACAGTCCAGTTGCTCTGCGGATGAACACGTGTGGCGTTACTCTTCTCATATCACTATCTTAGTTAATATATATATGCGGGTCGTTGTGGTAACGGGTTCTGTCACAGGGAGTCGTTAGGACGGGATCGACATATACTGGTCTTAACTCGCGTTCAGACAGGATTTTCCGTAACTTTGGCCGAGGTTACGGGCCTTAATAACTCTCCAGAGGTTAATATTGGTCCTGAACTCTTAATATTGCCCAAACAGCGCCGTTCTGATAGACTGACCTCGTACTCTCTCTCTTACAGACTGTGGCGGCGATGAGAGTGGTGGTGGTGGTGTGGAGGTGTGGTGGTGCACCACATCTGTGGCTGGTCTTAGTGGCTGGGTTAGCCGTCATCTCCTCTGCTCAGAACCTGCCTCCTCTCCCAACCGGTTGTGTCGGTAAGGAAAGCTTAGATTGCCTTGTTATGATGGTTTGTGGTCTGCAACTGGCAACCATTCGAACTCTCCGCCGCTGATCATCTTGACAAGAATCAATGAAACGCACCTCTTGGCTCCCAGGCTATAGTAAAGGGAACCTTTGTACAGTTAATTTCCTAAATTTCTTCTGAAGTGAAAAAAAACATAAAGATTGATACAGGTGTTTCGTGCTTCAGGTATTGATCTCACTTTCTCTCATATTTAGTAACTAGCAGTACCCGGCCACGCGTTGCTGTGGCTCACCAATGTGCGTTGCTGAACCACAGCAACCTTCCCTCTCCCCCAGTCCTTCCTACCATTCCCGGAAAGTGGATTTGGAGATCCTATTGGACGACATATTCGACCTCGAGATGCAAAAGGTTACCACTAAAGACACCTTGCAAGCAGAACTTATTGCAGAAGGAGGAAAGATTCGCGGCAACTACAGGAGCATCATACTGTCCCCCGAGCTCAAAGCGGCAGCTAAGAGCCTTCATGAGAACAAGGAGATGGAGAGGTGGAGAAGTGACATGACGATGGAGGTCGTCAGGAAAGGTGACAAGTCGCCAATATATGTCATTCTCAAAAAAGACGAATATCTGGCGAAAATGAACCTCATACTCTCTGACCAAACTAAATTCCAAAGGGTAACGAAATACACTACATCCGAATTGAAAACAAAGGTAAACAGATTGATCAAAACTGTGAATGCCAAGAAATCCGGACTCCACCTGCCAAAGGTTATTGGGGAATACAAACCTGGGTATGCAAATGGAAATATCAAGACCCGCTAGCTTGAAAACCCACTTCGGCTAATCATCAGCCAGATACCCACACCCACGTACAGACTGGCGAAGCGACTCAACGGCTTGCTGACTCCTTATGTACCTTGTGGTTTCAGCCTGAAGTCTCCAAAGGGATTTGTTGACTTACTGCGGGGAACACGGGCCACAGGGATAAGAGCCTCGTTGGACGTAGAATCAGTTTATCAGCGTACCTGTGAATGAAACAATTTGGATGATAGCGGACAGATTGATTTTTGATTGTTGCCGCCGAAGGCGGCTAGTTTATTGTGCATCCCATACTCATCCTGTGAGCGGTCAGAGTGTATCGTGATCCGGCCTGTACTCCTCTTGACATACCAGAAAACATTCTAAGGAAACTACTCCAAGCTTGTACTAAAGAGGCACCCTTCTTGAGCCCGGATGGGCACATGTATAAGCAAGTAGATGGGGTTGCCATGGGTTCTCCCCTAGGTGTCCTGTTCGCGAACTTCTACATGGGTACCATCGAGCAGAAGGTCTTAGTCGACATGAACTTGAGACCCGCCATATACTGCAGGTATGTTGACGACATTTTTACACAGGTACCTAATGTCAGACATCTGCAGGAGCTGAAGGAGGCATTTGAGCGGAATTCTGTGTTGAGTTGAGTTTCACTTACTAGATGGAGAAGGATGGGAAGCTGCCCATTCTAGATGTAACAGTCATGGAAAGGAGCGGAGGCTTCCATACTGCAGTCTACACTAAGGAAACAAACATAGGAATGTGCCTCAGTGCCAATAGTGACTGCCCAGACAGGTACAAGAGGAGTGTTGTTAACGCTTATGTCGACCGTGCTCTCAGCCACAGCTCAGGATGGAAGCAAGTTGATGAATAACTCTGTAGGGTAAGGCAGGTCCTAGTGTGGGACTTATGGCCTTACCCTGGGAGGGTTGTTAAAGCCTATCTACCTCTGGATGGTTATTAAGACCTATCAACCTCTGAAGGGTTATTAAGGCCTATCAACCTCTGGAGGGTTATTAAGGCCTATCAACCTCTGGAGGGTTATTAAGGCCTATCAACCTCTGGAGGGTTATTAAGGCCTATCAACCTCTGGGGGGTTATTAAGGCCTATCAACCTCTGGAGGGTTATTAAGGCCTATCAACCTCTGGGGGGTTATTAAGGCCTATCAACCTCTGGATGGTTATTAAGACCTATTAACCTCTGAAGGGTTATTAAGGCCTATCAACCTCTGGAGGGTTATTAAGGCCTATCAACCTCTGGATGGTTATTAAGACCTATCAACCTCTGGAGGGTTATTAAGGCCTATCAACCTCTGGAGGGTTATTAAGGCCTATCAACCTCTGGAAGGTTATTAAGACCTATCAACCTCTGGAGGGTTATTAAGACCTATCAACCTCTGGAGGGTTATTAAGGCCTATCAACCTCTGGAAGGTTATTAAGGCCTAAAAACCCCTGGAGGGTTATTAAGGCCTATCAACCTCTGGAGGGTTATTAAGGCCTATCAACCTCTGGAGGGTCATTAAGGCCTATCAACCTCTGGAGGGTTATTAAGACCTATCAACCTCTGGAGGGTTATTAAGGCCTATCAACCTCTGGAGGGTTATTAAGACCTATCAACCTCTGGAGGGTTATTAAGGCCTATCAACCTCTGGAGGGTTATTAAGGCCTATCAACCTCTGGAGGGTCATTAAGGCCTATCAACCTCTGGAGGGTCATTAAGGCCTATCAACCTCTGGAGGGTTATTAAGGCCTATCAACCTCTGGAGGGTTATTAAGACCTATCAACTTGAGTCATGTGGGAAGTTGAATGCAACTTACGCAACATTGAGCCGTAATCCTTCACCCTGAGCGTGGGGTGAGGGGGTCACCGCCAAGAGGTCCCACGTTCCATTCTCACAGCAGGACTTGTCATATTTCGCTGTTTCACAGTATTGACTCTTCACATATTGCTTCTACCCCGCCTAGAAGTCAATAAAACCCCCCGATAAAGACAACTATTGTGGTCTGCTTCATGCAGGGAGCTCGTTTAATGGACTAATAATACTTTAAATCATCAATATCCGTCATTAGGGCTCAACATTGATGAATATATATGAGTATTTTCAGCAAAAAACCATTGAAACTAATCTCGTTAATCCCAGCCAATCACGTCGCCAATTGAGCACACAAAAGAGACGTGATTGGCTAAGCATTGACCTCGCTACAATGACATTCGTCGCTGCGAGGGCGACAAGTCTAGCCAATCACGCAGATAATTTAGTTTGTTGAATGGCGGTGATTGGTCGTAATTTTAGGGCGGGTTTGGTTCCTTTCAGGCCAGAAGTCAGAGGGGGAACTGTGTCAGGCCTGTGACAGTGTGTGTGACAGTGTGTGTGACAGTGTGTGTGACAGTGTGTGTGACCGCGTGTGTGACAGTGTGTGTGACAGTGTGTGACAGTGTGTGTGACAGTGTGTGTGACAGTGTGTGTGACAGTGTGTGTGACAGTGTGTGTGACAGTGTGTGTGACCGCGTGTGTGACAGTGTGTGTGACAGTGTGTGACAGTGTGTGTGACAGTGTGTGACAGTGTGTGTGACAGTGTGTGTGACAGTGTGTGTGACAGTGTGTGACAGTGTGTAACAGTGTGTGTGACAGTGTGTGACAGTGTGTGACAGTGTGTGTGACAGTGTGTGACAGTGTGTGACAGTGTGTGTGACAGTGGTGTGTGACAGTGTGTGTGACAGTGTGTGTGTCAGAGCTGTGAATGCCGAGAATCCGTAAAGACGTCGGTAAAAATAGCTGGATTTTTTGTTATTGATGAAAGTTTACATAAAGTATCCTGGTTACTGAGTTGTGAGTCTCTCTCTCTCTCTCTCTCTCTCTCTCTCTCTCTCTCTCTCTCTCTCTCTCTCTCTCTCTCTCTCTCTCTCTCTCTCTCTCTCTCTCTCTCTCTCTCGCACATGCGCGCGCGCCTCCACGTGTTGCTCCTGTCGTTAATAATAATACATTTTTATTCAGGAAAAGTACATACATAGTTGATTTACACTCATAATGTTGAATGTATAGATAGAGGTAGTACACACAATACCTAAAGTCACTAATACTCACAGCGTTTCGAGCAAAGGAAAGTTCCTTCCCTGGGGACTTAAGTGGTGTTGCTTCTGTTGCTCCGTTAACAGGAGCAGCAACATCAGCCAACGGAACACTAATGGTGCAGTGATTTGCACCGATTCAAAAGCAGCACTGCAAAGCCTAAGTCAAAATCAGGCAGAAAATCTTGCAATAGTCGCTGGAATCAAGAGAGCTGTGAGAGTACTTACCAATCAGGGAAGAGTCATCAAGTTTCTGTGGATCCCCTCCCATGTTGGAGATCCCCTCCCATGTTGGGGATCCCCTTCCATGTTGGGGATCTCCTCCCATGTTGGAATATGTGGGAATGAACGAGCAGATGAGCTGGCTGCTGAAGGCGCTGAAGGAGACAATATTGAATACTTCATACCCAAGACTCTACTACAAATTAGAGGTATTGTCAGGCAACATCACCGTGACAAGGTAACTGAGGAAAGGAGGATAGACGCACAAACCAGTGAATCTGTACGATGGTACAACATGGTTGCTGCTGGCGATCCCAATCATTATGGCCGAAGAGGAGGACGACGAGGGAGAGAATCAGTAATAGCGAGAATCCGTCTTGGATACAAATATCCTTGGAGATTTGGAATGGAAACAACAGTTGATCAGCGAAGTTGCAGAATCTGTGGTGAGAGTGATGGACACCGCCTTGACCACTATCTACGTGAATGTGAACACCTGAGAGACATTAGGAATATGTGTAGAATAATAAACCCCACATTGTTTGAGTTAGGAAAACACTATTTGTCAAATATTGATACTGTTCTTAAAAGATTTCCCCATTTTGCACCCGCAAGATAACGTAAGCTTTTAAGGGTTGATAAATGTTAATCTTCTTGTTTGAGGAGCTGTTCACTTGAGACAGTTAAGCAAGTCCCAGCTGTGTCTGGGTACAAGTAACAGGATGAACAACCCAGCGGGTTTTCTTCCTATTGGGAGTGTTGTACATTCTGCTATGGCGGTGTGTTCATTCACAAGATGAGTGGCGCTGCCCAATAAACTCGCCCCTCGGGGCAAAATTTAAAAAAATTTAAATCAGCCCCCCCCCCCCCTCCCCATCGTTGCAGACGAAGGCGCAACAGCGAGCCTGGGGTCGGAGACGTCGTCCCTCGCCTGGTGTCGTCTCTCTCAGCGACAATGTCTGGAGTTCTGTCGCGGCAACAACTTCACTATGTACGCCCTTCAGCCCAACTGTACTTGTTCCAGTGGCACTACCGGTACAAGGTAAGAGGGTATGGGGTAGTTATAGGGATAGTTGACATGTGGAATCCTCATATCTGGGATAGTTGACATGTGGAATCCTCATATCTGGGATAGTTGACATGTGGAATCCTCATATCTTGGATAATTGACATGTGGAATCCTCATATCTGGGATAGTTGACATGTGGAATCCTCATATCTGGGATAGTTGACATGTGGAATCCTCATATCTGGGATAGGGATTAGTCGAAAATGTAATCTATATGAATCCCTATACATATGAGTTTAATAGACATAAATAATTAAAATCTCCACCAAATTCATTGGACATGATACACCAAAATCCTTCAATATATGCAAACAACAATAAAATCTATATGAAAAATAAAAATCTCCCCCCCTCCCCCCTCCAAAAAATATATATTATCAAAATTTTGATGTAAACACAAAATAGTATTGCGATGTTTTAATGGGAGTGAGTGTGTGGGTTTCAGTGTGGCCGGCCAGCCGTACGCCTCGTCCTGCTCTGACCTCTACTACAACCACAATGTCTTCGTGTCTGGTAACTATCTCATCCAGCTCCCAGATGGCGCTATCCTCCCCGTCTACTGCGACATGGAAGGTGGGTATCACGGTAGCTTAGGATAGGTTAGGTTAGGATATGTTAGGTTAGGTTAGGTTAGGTTATGTAAAATTAGGATATCTTAAGTTAGGAGAGGTCAGGATAGATTATGTTAAATTAGGTTAGGTCAGGTTAGGTTAAGTTAGGATAGGATAGGTTAGGTTAGGATAGGTTAGGTTAGGATATGTTAGGTTAGGTTAGGATATGTTAGGTTAGGTTATGTAAGGGTAGGTTAAATTAGGTTAGGATATGTCAGGTTAGGTTATGTAAGATTAGGATATCTTAAGTTAGGAGAGGTCAGGATAGATTATGTTAAATTAGGTTAGGTCAGGTTAGGATAGGTTAGGTTATTATCCCCTAACTCCGCTTGCCACTTCGGGGGGGGGGGGGTATAGGGTGTTTATGTAGCTTCAGGGCACCAATCCCCCCAGCCACAGGGGCCCCAAACCCCCCAGCCACAGGGGCACCAAACCCCCCAGCCACAGGGGCACCAAACCCCCCAGCCACATGGGCACCAAACCCCCCAGCCACAGGGGCACCAAACCCCCCAGCCACAGGGGCACCAAACCCCCCAGCCACAGGGGCCCCAAACCCCCCAGCCACAGGGGCACCAAACCCCCCAGCCACAGGGGCACCAAACCCCCCAGCCACATGGGCACCAAACCCCCCAGCCACAGGGGCCCCAAACCCCCCAGCCACAGGGGCACCAAACCCCCCAGCCACAGGGGCACCAAACCCCCCAGCCACATGGGCACCAAACCCCCCAGCCACAGGGGCACCAAACCCCCCAGCCACAGGGGCACCAAACCCCCCAGCCACAGGGGCACCAATCCCCCCAGCCACAGGGGCACAAAACCCCCCAGCCACAGGGGCACCAAACCCCCCAGCCACATGGGCACCAAACCCCCCAGCCACATGGGCACCAAACCCCCCAGCCACAGGGGCACCAAACCCCCCAGCCACAGGGGCACCAAACCCCCCAGCCACAGGGGCACCAATCCCCCCAGCCACATGGGCACCAAACCCCCCAGCCACAGGGGCACCAAACCCCCCAGCCACATGGGCACCAAACCCCCCAGCCACAGGGGCACCAAACCCCCCAGCCACAGGGGCACCAATCCCCCCAGCCACAGGGCACCAATCCCCCCAGCCACAGGGGCACCAAACCCCCAGCCACAGGGGCACCAAACCCCCCAGCCACAGGGGCACCAATCCCCCCAGCCACAGGGGCACCAATCCCCCCAGCCACAGGGCATGGCGAGAAGGCATCCCTAAGCGTACCTAATTCCCTATCAAACACACACTAAAATACACATTAATGGCAGATCTCATCACAACCCACAAGAGTTAAGATGATAATAACACTAACTCAATAATAACATCATAATAACATACACAAAATGGAAAATTCTTTTATATTTTCTTTCTCTTATATGGGACACGGCACTCAAAGGGAGAGGTGGACAGTATATCATTCAAAATGACTAAAGCTGAAGGCAAAACAACAAGCTGCCTAAGTGGCAGGGTTGGTGGCTTGACAGCAACATACATGGAAAAAGAACTATTCATAGTGGAAGCTCCTAACAAGACCCCGGAGCGGGAGGGTTGTCATGTATGCGCCCGGGGGTCCCTCCGGCCGCCGCCTTACCCACTCGTGGGCTCCGGCCAGGTCATCCACCCTCTTGTGAGACACCATTAGGAGAAGTGGTACTCCAGATGACGAGTCTGCTTAGATAGTTGGCTGCCAGCTATCTTGACTGCGGTTCACCTAAGCGAGACTATATTGACCCTTATGCACCCTGTGCACGGTGATCCTGGGACTAAGGTGGTCTGCCCCTTGATGTGGTCTTGGACCATATTCTGTAGATGGAATATGTCCAGGTCAGGGCCTTCACAGAGCAAATCTCAAGGTCGCTCTTGGTGAGTCCCATATCCTGTAGACCATACGCACTCTCCTTGCACCATTCTCCTCTCCAATTAAGGGTTATTGAAGAGGTGGATGCTATGTGCTTCCCGGTATATTCCCTGACCTTTTGAAGGATCTTTGAGGTGCCGTACTTGTCGCACTTGCTCTGATGTGGACGGGAGAGTGGGAAGTTATCAGCAGAGACCTGGGTGTCTAGTATGAAGGCCTCGTCACCTTTGCAAGCTATGATGTCAGGCTTACAGAAGGTCCCTCCATCCGGTATACGGACTTCACGTTCCACCTCAAAACCTCTTTGCCGCAGGCGGCCAGCTACGAACCGAGTAATATCGTCATGACGTTTCACCTGAGCCCCGTGTGTCTTGTGGCATGCCTGGGATATGTGGCCCAGGGTCCCTGGCTTCTGGCAAGCATCGCAGAGACCAGAAGCCTCGGGTCTACCCCTAGCTGCTCTAGACGGTGTGGCTACAGCGTTGGCCCTAATCTGGATGGCGTGAGCAAAATCTCCTCCACGTAGCAGACGGATACCGGATGTGACCAACTTGTGGCAGGAAGGAACCTCACAAGAGGACGCAAGGCCGGCACCATCAACCATGCTATACAGTTTTGCTTTCCACCTTCTAGAGCGCTCAGTCGTTCTGTTAGAAGGGGTTCCGGCGGCCGTGGTCGGGTCTACCCATCAATGAATTCTCGCTTGGAATGTGGGTAGGAGAGCCGCTGCCACTACCACTGGATTCTCCGACTCTACTAACGCCCCGAGCTGCTTGTTCTTCTGTAGGCAGATTGATGAAGCAAAGTCGAGTATTCTTAGTCCACCGTCCTTCACATCGGCATGAAAAAAAGGCATTGGGAATATCGTGAGGCAGTCGCAGCCAGCCAAGAATGGCACGCCGCAGCCGCCTGTCAAGCCTCGCCAACTCCGTTTTAAACATGCGTCCGAGAACAAGCCAGGGGTACATCTAGAGGATTAGTTGGTGTTTTAGTAGGTATAGCCTCTGTTGGGGTTTGAGGGGAGTTAAGTTAGGTTAGATTATTTCAGCACTAACACTCTCCCCACTCCCGTTGGTCTGTCCACAGGTCGTGAGATCTGCAATGGTAGTCTGGTCCACGGGGCGTCGGGACACGCCGTCCTGGCCAACGACGGGAGCGGCGCCGCCTCCAACGACGTCTTCAACAACCTATCACCCTACGCCACACCCGCCACGCCATATGTGTCCAGCATGGCGGTGCAGGTGTGATTCCCGGCACTCTGTTCGCTTGTGGTTTCTGTGGCTCCAGTTCGAGGTTATTATTCTTTTGTACGACTTCATAGCCCTTTAGAGGTCGTAAACTGTTTAGTAAATACCAACTGAGCCCCCATGGTGGAGATAAGAGGTCCTCGAATAGACCAATAGGAGCTGCCTCGTATGGACCAATAGGAGCTGCCTCGTATGGTCCAATAGGAGCTTCTTTAGTTTTGTTTATTATTTGCAGTTTCCTCTCTAAGGGCCATTACCTTTGAACCTCCTTACCTAACAGTGTCTACGGGGGGGGGGGGAGGGAGGCCTAGTTCCTGGGACCCAACCTACGAGCCAAGGTGTACACCATTACCTTAGAGTTTAACTATTCTAAGGTTCAAATTTTTTGTCAAATCTGGTGGAAGGTGTGGATGGATGGAGGTGGCTTCCCCAACTTCCTCTCTCAGAGTATTATTGTGTTATTATTGTGACAGATCAACTTCCGGAGGAAGGTGATTATCCAGGGGATGTACCTGAGTGGCGAGGCTGCCAATTATGTCTCCTCCTTCACCCTCTCCTACCTGTACCAGGATGCTGTCATGACTGGTATGACTGGTAATGATACCTACCTGTACAGGTGAGATGTTACTATCTTCAGCTGCTGCTTGCTGTCTGTCTGTGTCTGTCTCTTCAACTGTAGCTTGCTTGCTGTCTGTCTGTCTCTCTCTCTCTCTCTCTCTCTCTCTCTCTCTCTCTCTCTCTCTCTCTCTCTCTCTCTCTCTCTCTCTCTCTCTCTCTCTCTCTCTCTCTCTCTCTCTCTCTCTCATTAATATATATAAGCTTTTGCATTAATTCTTCCATAAGGCAATATTTTACAAGAATCATTAACCTTAAAGTATGAAATACTTTTTATATTATGTAATAATTCTTGCAACTATCTTCTTTTTTAATTTAGTCAACACTTTTTGCATTATATAATCTTTTTCACACGTATTTCTAAACCAAGTTATATATGTGTGTGTGTGTGTGTGTGTGTGTGTGTGTGTGTGTGTGTGTGTGTGTGTGTGTGTGTGTGTGTTTACTAGTTGTGTTTTTACGGGGGTTGAGCTTTGCTCTTTCGGCCCGCCTCTCAACTGTCAATCAACTGTTTTACTAACTACTTTTTTTTTTTTTTCCCACACCACACACACACACACACACACCCCAGGAAGCAGCCCGTGACAGCTGACTAACTCCCAGGTACCTATTTACTGCTAGGTAACAGGGGCATTCAGTGTGAAAGAAACTTTGCCCATTTGTTTCTGCCTCGTGCGGGAATCGAACCCGCGCCACAGAATTACGAATCCTGCGCGCTATCCACCAGGCTACGAGGCCCCTACCCCTGTGTGTGTGTGTGTGTGTGTGTTACTGGGAGTATAGGCCTAATGTGTGTGTTTCTCCCCGCAGTGACACGGCCTATGGCAGTCCTCAAGTTGTTACTGCGATCTTAGGCTCGGCTGTTGTCCTCCGACCCTTCGTAGCCGACTCTGTCACCCTCCATGTTGTCGGAACTGTCGGGCAGCCTCAGTGAGTGTTCCCTTGTATGTGTGTCCCCCGTCGCTCGAGTATAACCTGGTATATGGTTATACTAACCACTATACTCACCTCTACCCCCCAGCCTCAAGTTGGACTTCTACGGGTGCGCCTTCAACGCCACCACCGAGGTGGGTCTGCCCGCGCAGTTCTCGCCGTGGTCCTGCGCGCACTGGCCCACTCCCAACAGTTCTGTGACTGTGAGCAAGACCGCGGCCTCTGTCGCCTCCCTCGCCGCCACTGGCACCCCTTATGCTACTCTCTTTACGGTTCGTATTGTGGGGTTTTCGTATTGTATTGTAAGCCTCGCGTCAGACTAGAAATAAAAATGAATTTTGGAGAATTGATTTTTCAATTACCATCGACAGTTAAAAGAAACATAAGAAATATTGAGAAAATTCGTGTTAGAATTATTAATCTTACTTTTTCGGTCATATTTAACAACATATATATATATATATATATATATATATATATATATATATATATATATATATATATATATATATATATATATATATATATATATATACACAGAAAGGTTTCTGTACCCAGTACAGAAACTGGTGTAATTAAACCAAGTTTGTTTTCAGATGAACGAGACAGTGTTCTGGGCTCTGCCTGAGAACATTCCCTTGGGATTAACTGGTCCTGGCGTCTCCTGCGCTACTGCTACCTGTCCTCTCCTCACCCTCGTAAGTAGCAGTACGGTGAAGTGGGCTTTGTGTTACCGTGTGCGTGGCAGAATAAGTCTCCCCCCCCCCCGCCCCCCGCCATACTGTGCTTGCCTTAACACTGTTGGTGTTGTTTCCAGTTGGACCAGATTTCAGGGGTGACTATTCAGTGCGGGAACAACGCCGCCTTCGCGTCGAACCTGACTGACGCTTACCAGACCATAAGGACTGGCAAAACTACCAACAACTGCTCCTATGATGCCATTGTTGCCTTTTATGTAAGTTGAGGTGTAGTGTGCTTCTTTCACTCCTTTAAACGGGTGTAAATACACTGATAAAATACTTTAGTCGTGTACAGTGTGCAGGATTAATGTAGACTTTTGATAACACACGCGGGTGGGACACGAACAAGGGGACACAGGTGGACACTGAGTACCCAAATGAGCCACATAGACATTAGGAAGAATTGTTTCAGTGTCAAAGTAGTTAACATATGGAATGCATTAGGCAGTGATGTGGTGGAGGCTGAATCCATACACAGTTTCAAATGTAGATATGATAGAGCCCAATAGGCTCAGGAACCTGTGCACTAGTTGAGAGGCGAGACCAAAGAACCGAAGCTCAATCCCCCTGCAAGCACAACTGAGTGAGTACAACTTCTTCAACACAATATACAACCCACAACCTGTTTACACAAATAATATTTTCCCTCGCGCTCAAACTTCTAACTCACAAAGCCAGCACATTGTGCATATATAGGCACAGATTAGGTTAGGTGTTTAGGTTCTGTTGGCGATCATTTGCATTTGTAGTACGTGGGGTGAAGCATTTACAGCGTTGTGGTTCAAACATAATTCGTCAGTGAAGCACTTGTTCCGGATATGTTCGAACGAAATCAGTTGTGAGTCGTGTGTAAACAGTTTTTCATTCATAAACAGGGGGTTTGGCGGGTGCATGGAATCACTTTTGGATCTTTGTTTGGAGGACGAGCTGTTCGAACAAAATTCGTCAGCGAAGCATTTGTTTCAGTAGTGTTCGTACGTCATCAGTTCCGAGTCGTGTGTAAACCGTTTTTCTTTCATAATCAGTGTGGGGGGTAGGGGGGGGGGTTGGCGGGTGCATGGAATGGACTTTAGCCTTTGTTTATGAGGACGGGCTGTCATTCTTGGGAGAATTGTCTCGAGTCTAACTCGACTCCCTAACTCATTGGCCAAATACGAATCGTGTGCATCACTGACCCTTGGTTTGAGCCTTCATTATTACTCCAGCCCGTTCTCGCATTCAAAGATCCAAGCTCGTTAATCCAGCCGCCAAACCCCCTGTTTATGAATGAAAAGTGGTTTACATACGACTCACAACTGATGACGTCCGAACACTTCCGGAACAAGTGCTTTGCTCACGTCCTCTGTTCGAATTACAATTCTGTAAATGCTTCACCCACGTTCTTCAAATACAAATAATAATTAACACAACCTAAATACCTAACCTAACTATACATATAATTTTTATGTATAATAATATTAATTTATATATATGAGAACAAACCAATTTTTAATACACACTATGTTAAAATCGAGGAATGTATCTGGGGAGAACGGCCGCTGCTTTAACCAGCCTAGTATGAGAACGGGTTGATTACTCTTAGCCAAAATATTTTACCATTATAACATTGCCTTTGATACGTAGGTTCCATATCGGACGCTTTTCTAAACACATTCCGTTTTCTTTGACACCTCAACAGAAGATGAAAACTGTGTTCTATGGTTACCACTTCATGTGTCCCAATGAGAGTCCCGACCTTTACACCATGGCCTATACTTACTACCAGGAGAGTGTATCCATGTGCTTTAACGTAAGTATGACCATTGTGTATGTGTGTGTGTGTATATATATATATATATATATATATATATATATATATATATATATATATATATATATATATATAAACAGTGTTAGACCACGAAATACTACTTGAATCAGGAATTTACTTATGTACTTATGTATTTAATAATATGAAGTCCTTCTGAAGATGTATTATTAAATTCAAAACTACTTAAGGTAGTTCTTGTTTCAATTCTTCCTTTGTATTTGATAATTTTCTATATATAATTAATTTTTGATAGTTCACCTTTGTATATTTACTTGTGGTTGTAATGGAAGTGTCAATGGTTGAGGGAAAGAAGGGCGTACCAGTGCAGAAAGACGGGTCAAGAAGGGAAGGTGAGAGAGTAGAGACATAATAATAATAATAATAATAATAGTAATAATAAAATAATAATATTTTATTTAGGAAACTACATACATAGATGCAGAGTTACAAACATTCTGATTGTTTTATAGACAGAACTAGTACATACAGTACCTAAAGCCACTAGTACGCATAGCGTTTCGGGCATGACCGGATGAAGGAAAGGTGATCCCTTCTAATAATAAATACATAGAAACTTAGAACAGGGATATAGGATGTGAACAGATGAAGACTAACGTGCGAATATCTTGACGTTAGTGAAACTAGTCCACCGTTGCCAGAGCGCCTTACGTTGTAACAATACCAGTTGTACCGTGTTTGTACCTTACAGGCCAGTGGTAAGAATGGTACAGCTGTTGCCGTAGCGTCGACATTCTCCTTCTGTGTACCAGGAGGTCCGGTGGGCGCCACGTTCCTGGCCCCACTCTACAGGAACAGGTTCTTCCAGTGCAATTTGGACTATACTTTCATACTGAGTACTAACTTCAGTGGGACTTATGTGGAGGTAAGTGTGTGTGTGTGTGTGTGTGTGTGTGTGTGTGTGTGTGTGTGTGTGTGTGTGTGTGTGTGTGTGTGTGTGAGTGTGTGTGTGTGTGTGTGAGTGTGTGTGTGTGTGTGTGAGTGTAATTATACATTTACCCCACGCCCCACACGTTAGCCCACCTCACCCCCCTCACCCAATACCACACATGTACCACACTAGAGACCCCGTTAGCTCAGCCCCAACACTCGTCCCTCTCCGCCATAAGGACCAACTCCTCCCTAGACCTCCCCTACACCCCCATTTCAAAAATGGCCAAGTGCTCATCAGCAACCCTTAACAACGGCTCCAACACACACTTCATACCCCCCAGAAATCATCCCCAGAAATATCTACCTCACGAACCAAGGCACAAGCGAGAACTTCTCCGATTTAGTCGCTACAAACCTTCCCTCATCCAGTCAGTACGGGCTCACCATAGCCCGTGCTACTTGGAACTTCTTGTTCCAGGTAGCGAATCTTTAACAACAACAAACATCCAGTCAGTAAACAATGAAAATCACACAGTTCAACGTTAGAGCCAACTACAGTATCAGACACCTAATTGCTAACTTTGTGGAGACCGAAAGACCGGATGTGCTGCTACTGAACAGCACATTCGTGACGAACTCTCACAGAATTAGACACTATGGCTACACAACCTACCAATGCCCTGATGAAGCACACGAAGGTGGTTGCTATTATGGTCAAAAGCACTTATAAACACGACCTCCTCATCACCAACTTTCAGCACAAACACTTCCTAGCAACCCGCGTTCACACTCAACACGGACAGATGATCATTGGCACCACAAACATTCACCCAAACATAGGCCTCCCTCTCCAGGACCTAAACACCCTCTTCAACCACACACATACACCGGTCTTCCTCCTAGCAAACCTAAACGCACAACACCAAACATTCAACCATCACCAACACAACATGCACGGTCAACAACTCCACCAACTCCACCAAAGCAAACACCTCACCTTCCTTGGCCCCGACTTCCATACACGCTACACACACACTGGAACTGGGAGACCAGATCTCATCCTCACCAACAGAGCAGGCACCCACCTCCAACACTACATCACCCCCGGACCCCTCACCGGCTCAGATCACATACCCATATCACTCACACTCTCCACCAACCCCATACTCATCCCAGCCACCCCACAATATGACTATGAAAATGCAGACTGGGAAGCCATCATACAACACCTAACTGCCAGCACACAGCCCTACAACTTCCGAGACAAACCACACACAGACATAGACTCCCAAATCCTCACCATCCAGAACGACATCATACAAGCGGCTGACACAAGCAAAAAATACACACAACCAGATACTCCTTCCCTCCATCAGGACCAAAAGGCTACTCACCTGCTACCACAACAGATTCTCCCGCAACCTTCACAGACACGGTCATACTCAGCGACCACATGCTCAACACCCTCGACCTCGACCTCGACCAAGCCAACCACTGGAAGTCACTCGTATAAAAAGCTGAACTACACAGGAAAACAACTCCACAACAATTCTGGAACTTCATGAAGAGGATCAGGGACAACTCCTCCTCTTCTGTCTATAAATACATCACTCACAACAATCAAAACTTCACTGACCCCTCAGAAGTAGTAGACATATTCAAACAACACTGGCAGGACATCTTCAACCCCCCCACCCCCCTAGCCATCAGCAATACACAACATACAGAGTAGAAACATGGATCCGGCACAACCCTCAGGTCATCACACACTACCCTACCATTGACCTCACGACACTAGACGACTTACAGAGTGACCTCACAGCATCAATATTACCTGTAGAAGTTAAACTCATGCTCAAGAACACCAGACGTAAAGCCCCAGGAGCCTCTGGCATTGGCCAAGCTCTCCTCAAGCAACTTCCAGACTCCAGAGTCCTTGCACTCACAGACGTCTACAACGCCTCACTAGCATCAGGATATTTCCCAAGCCCATTCAAAGAAGCCACAGCAATCCTCATCCCCTAAACCCCAAAAATCCCCGACAGACCCCAACAACTACAGACCGAACAGCCTACTAGAGACACTAGGGGGAAAGTATACGAAAAACTAATAAACCACAAACTTAGACATCACCTAGAACACAAAAACATACTAACAGACAAGCAATTTGGCTTCAGACAACACCGCTTCACACAAGACACACTGAACATACTAATAAACTACCTCACCATTAACAAGCACTAAAGGGTCAAGACGGCGCTCGTGGCAAAGGACGTTGAAAAGGCGTACGGCACGACGGCCTTAGTCACAAACTCTGCACTTTATTTCAACTACCTGACAACATGCACAAGCTACTATGCAGCTTTCTAATAAACAGAAAGATGCAGATTAAGTTCCTCAACAAGCTGTCAGGATTCTTCAACCTAAATGCTGGAGTCTCCCAAGGCTCAGTTCTCTCACTGACCTTATATATACTCTACATAAATGACCTTCCTGACCCAATATACTGGACCTCCATGACCCTCTGTTATGCTGACGACGTAACCCAACTGATCTCAGCTTACTCGATAGACTCCCTCACACGCCAAGCACAGGAAGAAATAGACAAGGTAACCCTCTGGGAACATGACTTGGTTCCCAGTCATGTTCCCTGATTAAAACAAACGCCAACAAGTCCAAAATCACATACTTCTTCTACAACAAACGACGAGACTCAGCCCCACTAAAACTGTACTCACAATCACCTGACCCAGCCCACATCCCGAGAGTAAACACCACAGTACTTGGCCACACACATTAGATCACAACCTCCGCTTACACACACACACACACACACACACACACACACACACACACACACACACACACACACACACACACACACACACACACACACACACACACACAGTATCCAAGAAAGTCATTGCCTCCAAAGCTCTTCCCCCTCAGACACGCCTCCCAAGCCACCAAACTCTACCTTTACAAAACACTCATTCTCCCACTCCTTACATACGCACCCAGCACACTGTCACTCGCTGAACCAATAAATAAAAGGAAACTACAAAGAACCCAGAACAAGGCCCTGAGATGGGTGTTCGATACCCACTGGCAGGACTTCAACTGCATGAGAGGGCGAACATCCCGTCGCTGAACACGGTCTGGGACACTATGGGGAAGAAACAGATCACAAGCATTCTTACCTTACACGACGACACCTTCCTCAGAAACACCTTCAGTAGACCCAGAAATACGCACAACCTCTTTAACCTGATCATCGACCCACCCCTTGCTCCAATTTTCAAATGATACCCGCCTCTTCCTAAACAACTCCTCAAAAAACCTAACCTAACTACCCAGCCTCCTAAACGCTTCTCCCCCCTCTTTGGGAGACGGGGTGACTGCTAGCTCCCGTTTACTAGTGACTCTGGGCGGGGCACGATGTTGACTAGCAAATCAGAAACCTCAGCTGCAGCGAGCCTCCAGGACACACCCAGCTGAGGGCTGCTCTCTCCGTGGGCGCGCTGAAAAGACGTAATGTTATCACAAAATACAGATTCTTTGCCTCCATCGCTCAGTCTGGTCATAAAACGCGAAAACGTCATGCAGTTGGTCCAGCCCTGATACGTTATCTCAACCTAAAAACGCTTCCTCTCCACCCACACTAATTCTTCCATGTCCCTACTTCCCGGCTCACCCCATGGGGGTACCTTGTCTTATATTTAATTCGACTCTTCCTTTCCCTCCACAGTCAAGTAACTCTGGACCTATTATGAACCGGCGAACTGTAGGCCTAATCAGCACTGGGTACTGTGCATGCCCCTACACCACCAAGGGGAACATACCCAACCAGCAGTCCTTCATCTGTGCTCCGGACTTTACCTACTACCTCAATACCTTCGTTGGATGTGAATGTAAGTACTGCAAATTGGTTAAAAAGATTCCTTATTTACATTTAGAATTCAATTTGACAATATAAAATAAAAAGATAATATAAAATAATATAAACAATATAAAAATAAAAATAATATAACATATAAACAATATAAAAATAAAAATAATATAACATATAAACAATATATATATATATATATATATATATATATATATATATATATATATATATATATATATATATATATATATATATATATAACAATATAAAATAAATAAGATAAAAACGAAGCACTACCTAATAAATTCCCTGTAACCTACCTTACCCCTCTAATGTCATCCAATGTCTGTTTTTTTAAAGAGCGCTGTTTGTCGACATAATTGTATTTGTGCTGCTTTTTCAGCTATGTTTTCATTCCATGTTTTCATTTTACTCTTTATGCTCAATTAGTATTAAGCTTTAGTCATTTAAGTTTTTTATGCCCGAAACGCTTTGCGTAATAGTGGCTTTAGGCATTGTATGTACTAGCTCTAACTACAAATCCATCACTCTTTGTAAAATCTCTTTTATGTATGTACCTTACCTAAATAAACATTTGATCTGATTTGATTTGAATATGGTTGATGTTCAGTTGTTTCTGTGTTATTGTGTATTAATCCTTGGATATACTATACAGCACTCGATAGACCAATCTACTCTGATCATGCAGCCCGGTCATGGGACATTAGTCAAATTTTGTTTTTACTCAGAATATTATGGGGTAACTGATCTAATCTCCAGATACCATCGCGGGGGGCTCCAAGGAAGATGTCATGTCTTAGGGGAGTGTGTTTCCTGGCCATGAAGTAGAGGGAAAGTTACCTTTAATTTGTTTAGGGAGACCTGAACTCACTAATCACTCTGGTCAGCCCTTAGCATGACCGAGTGCTCTGTGGATCACACTGTGGGGTTTGTGGTAGGAGAGAAGTGCCTGCCCGAGAGTGGGCGAAGTGGATCATACCACTTCCTAAGTGCTTATATTGTTAAGGACATCCATGTGGTAACGAGTATTATTGAACAATACCTTTTTTTAATTACATTAATAGTAATTTGTTTAATATTTTAGAAAATACAATAAAAACATCTATGGTTCATCCAATAAAATCAGCAGACTTCTAGATGTTACTACTGCTCGGCTTAGACTCGGTTACAAGTATCTCTGGGAATTTTCATTATCTGCTGATGTAGACCTGACCAAATGTAAACTGTGTCAACAAAATTATTCGCACACCCTCCGTCACTATGTGATGGAGTGCGAAAAGATACGTGAATTTAGAGACAATTCTATAACCACTGTTCCAGCGATGTGTCAATATTTCATTTAAAATGATCTGCTACCAGAAATTTTAGCCAAATATCCCCAGTTTGCAAACTGTTTTTAGTAACTAAGTGATTGTAACCTATCCACCGCTGTCCACTGGATGGGGGGTTACCTTGAGGTGCTTCCGGGGCTTAGCGTCCCTGCGGCCCGGTCGTCGACCAGGCCTCCTGGTTGCTAGACTGATCAACCAGGCTGTTGGACGCGGCTGCTCGCAGCCTGACGTATATGACAGCGGTATGCAGGACAAACATATCAATTTTGAGACTAGCTCTCCACATATGTTAGTTGCTTAATTTAGAACCTGTACTTGAGGTCGATCTCGAACCCATTGTTGATGTGACGACTTATACTGAATTTTGTAACTAGCTCATCAAGATTGTAACTTGCTTAGCTAAATGAATTGTGGGGTTCAGTCCCTGAGCCCATTATGTGCCTCTGTAACCCTTTCCACTACCGCCCACAAGATGGGTATGGGGTGCATAATAAGTGAACTATAATAACAATTAAATTTATAAAAACAACTATAATAATCCTGATGTTTAGTAATAATAATAACATAGTTTCCTCCAGTTTGATAAGTTGTTGTTTTAGATTCAGCTACTTGGAACAAAAAGTCCCAAGTAGCACGGGTTATGGTGAGCCCGTAGTGGACTTTATCCCTCCTCAGTTTGATGATTTATTGATTGATGAAGATTAAGCCACCCCAAAAGGTGGCACGGGCATGAATAGCCCGTAAGTGGAGACCTTTTTGAGCCATTACCAGTATCAATAAATAATACTAGAGATCTGTGGAGGTGCGACTGCACCCTATGTGACGGGAGATGCCTCCCGTGACCAGATTGATATGTTGTTGTTGTTTAAGATTCGCTACTTGGAACAAAATGTTCCAAATAGCACGGGCTATGGTGAGCCCGTAATGGACTAAGATTGATATGTTGTTTTGTTGTTAAAGATTCGCTACCTGGGACAAAAAGTTCCAAATAGCACGGGCTATGGTGAGCCCGTAATGGACTAAGATTGATATGTTGTTGTTGTTAAAGATTCGCTACCTGGAACAAAAAGTTCTATATAGCACGGGCTATGGTAAGATTGATAGATTTTCTCTATATTTCCAGTGTTACACTGCGTCAACGGCACACCGGCAGCTGCCCCTATGCAAGGCTCTCGTGTATGGGACGGCAGCACTACTGTCTACGGCACTGTCATCAACTACACCTGCAATGCTAATTTCGTGTTCAATGTGAGTAGCTCCGTGTTTAATGGACCTTAATTTGGGCTAACTAAAGAGGGTTCTGGAAGGCTAAACCAGTCGACGCTGTAGTTGCAGAGATATTCCTGCGCGGGCCCTAAGCCTAAGGCTGGCAACCTTAAGTGCTACTTGTTTCTTGTTTTACTTAAGGGGTGTATGTGATTGTTTATGACTCGTGTATTCGCTTCAGTAAGATTATGCCCAATGTGTTTAACAACTTCTTCTGTAAAGACGCGCTCTTGGGTACGTTGGTCAGGAGCTGCCTCGTATGGACCAATAGGCCTTCTGCAGTTACCTTCATTCCTATGTTCTTATAGGTTTCCTGAAGTTTAATATGAACAACGAAGCCGGTTTGGCTATTAATTGAAAAGGGATACGAAGGCCGAGTAGATAAACGGAGCCAAGCCTCGTAGGCCATCGGGGAATCGAACCCGGACCTTGCTCCTTGATCTCGCCGTTCGATCACCGAGGGTCCAAGTAGCTAGGCATCGTTCCTTTACTCCTTACATCCCTTCCAAGTGTTACTTGAGTGATCAACACTCAAGCACCAGCCAGACAACATCCCTCAAGTGTAACAGTCGTTGAGGCAATCATTCAATGGTAAAAAAAAAAAATTATTAAGACTAAAATTAGTTCCTTATTACGACTACTCATGGCCCAGTCGGTAGAGCTTGGGCCTCACAGCCACGGGGGTCCATGGTTCGAGACTCCTACAGCCCAGGTGAGTGACTTGGACAGTAGTTTGATCCACATCAGTTAACTAACAACATTATAAGTTTCTCTGCTGTGCCTGGTGCTTATTAGACCAATTAGATGTTCACAGGAGAGCTAAGAGGCTCCTCGAGGCGCCAAACAGCCTCATTCAGTCGTACAGACAATGGCACAATAACACGGCTGAAAATTACACTTGGTAATGGTCCAAAACGTCAATTACTTCATTTTTAAATTGACCTGAGGGCCACTAACAGTAGTGGCCTCATAGAGGACAGGAAGCCGGAGGTTTGTCTCCCACCCCACCCAGGGACCTGACGGCTGAGTGGACAGAGCTCGGAATTCGTAGTCCTAAGGTTCTGGGTTCGATCGCCGGCGGAGGCGGAAACAAATGGGTCGAATTTCTTTCACCCTGATGACCCCTGTTCACATATCAGTAAATAGGTACCTGGGAGTTAGACAGCTGCTACGGGCTGCTTCCTAGGAGTGTGTAACAAAAAGGAGGCCTGGTCGAGGACCGGGCCGAGGAGACACTAAGCCCCGAAATCATCTCTAAATAACCACAAGATAGCCTCAAGAAGAAGATACGTCGCCCTATGGTCCTCATTGTTACTAAGCACTATCAAAACTTTTTGCAATTTTTACCTATAAATTTTGCAATGCCTACTTAATTTTTTTTTAGATTAAGGACCTGCCCGAAACGCTGCGCGTACTAGTGGCTTCACAAGATGGTAATTACTATGCTACGTATCCTCACAATGCCAATGTACCTTCTTGTATATATATAAATATATATATATAAATAAATAAATAAAACAGGAGGATGGCCTGGCAGGTCATCAGTGTTTAATTATATGTAATATAATCGATTTCAAAGGTATTTAGTACAACGTGATTTATATACCATTTATGTATATTATATATATATATATATATATATATATATATATATATATATATATATATATATATATATATATATATATATATATATGTGTGTGTGTATATCACGAAAATAAACACGTGATTAAGAATGTGACAATGTCAGACCACGGTGGAAAATGAAACAGGCATTTCCTTAAGTACTTTCTTATATTAAATACATCTTCAGAAGGAATGGATTCCTTTCCTTCGATCCATTCCTTCTGAAGATGTATTTAATATACGAAAGTACTTAAGGAAATTCCTGTTTCATTTTCCACCGTGGTCTGACATTGTCATATATATATATATATATATATATATATATATATATATATATATATATATATATATATATATATATATATATATATATATATATATATATGTTGCAGACTTACGGGTTCCCATCGTCATTGATATCGACTTGTGGATGTCTCTCGAAGTGGACCTACGAAGTTCTTGATCCCACACTACAGTTGCCTTCGTGCGTGGGTAAGTACACCTCTACACTGTACAGCTGCATGTATAAGTACACCCTTCAGTACACTTCCTTGCTTAAGTACACCCCACACTCTATATCTGCTTGTGTGAGTATACAACTCAACTCTCAACTTAATATCGAGGTCAATCCCCCCCCCCACTACCCTAACCTAACATAACGTAACCTAATCTAAGATTCTCAATTACAGCCGTGTGCCCAACACCCTCGACTCTGGCTACAGGAGCTGTTGTGTTGTCCCTAAGTCATACCCCGGCCATCAACGGTACTGTGGTCAGTATACACCGAGATACACTTACTAGGCTTGGTCAATATAGCCAGAGATACAGTTACTAGGCTTGGTCACTATAGCCAGAGATACAGTTACTAGGCTTGGTCACTATAGGCAGAGATACAGTTACTAGGCTTGGTCACTATAGGCAGAGATACAGTTACTAGGCTTGGTCACTATAGGCAGAGATACATTTACTAGGTTTGGTCACTATAGGCAGAGATACAGTTACTAGGCTTGGTCAATATAGGCAGAGATACAGTTACTAGGTTTGGTCACTATAGGCAGAGATACAGTTACTAGGCTTGATCAATATAGCCAGAGATACAGTTACTAGGCTTGGTCAATATAGCCAGAGATACAGTTACTAGGCTTGGTCAATATAGCCGGAGATACAGTTACTAGGCTTGGTCAATATAGCCGGAGATACAGTTACTAGGCTTGGTCAATATAGCCAGAGATACAGTTACTAGGCTTGGTCAATATAGCCAGAGATACAGTTACTAGGCTTGGTCAATATAGCCAGAGATACAGTTACTAGGCTTGGTCAATATAGCCAGAGATACAGTTACTAGGCTTGGTCAATATAGCCGGAGATACAGTTACTAGGCTTGGTCAATATAGCCAGAGATACAGTTACTAGGCTTGGTCAATATAGCCGGAGATACAGTTACTAGGCTTGGTCAATATAATAATAAAAATAATAATGTTTTTTTCAGGTACAAGTACCTACATACAAGATGAGTTACAAACAGACTGCTACATATGTAGATAGAACTAGTACATACTATTTCTAGATACAGGTAGTATATACTATGCCTAAAGCCACTAATTCGCACAACATTTTGGGCAAGGCGTGGGAAAAACACTTGATAAACTAAGAGACTGAAAACTAATTGATAATAATTAAAAAAAATTGACAATAATTACATATTGAATGGAACAGTAGAAATTGCAACAGAACACCAGAAGTCATTTTAATTAAATAAACAGACCGGCAACAATTTTATATTGTTAAGTTTGTACATGGCAGATATCAGCAGTTACACAAGTCGGTTAGTAATTATTATTGTTTGAGAATAGCAAGACATGAGTTGACGTTTAGGAGGCATGATAGGTTACGTGGAGTTGATGAGGGAGTATATTAGTTTCTCTCTTAAACTGGTTGAGTGGGGACAGTCTTTGGCGTGATTGGCAAGGTTGATCCATACTTTGAAACCCTTGATTATATATCTTACAGTCGAAGATACAGTTAATAAGCTTCGTAAAGCACAAACTAATATATATATATATATTATTTTCTGGTTTAGGGCTTCTATCCCTCTAACTATTTTCTTAGCATCAGGGCTTAATTGAAATAGGAGTTCTCCAAAACTCATTTTCGTACTTTTAAGGTGAAGAAAAGAAGTGATTTACTATAGAGTGTATTACACTTATTTATATAATTAGCACAACGTTTCGAACCTCCATGGTTCATTCTCAAGTGAACAGATCTTACAATACTAGTTGATTTTATACCCGCACTGGGTCAGGTGATAATACAATAAAGGTGAAAACATGGGGGGATACATAAGGGATAAATGTGAGGTGAAACATAGAGGCTGCAGAAGGCTTATTGGCCCATACGAGGCAGCTCCTATCTAAACACAAAGATTAATCCAGTGTAATTGGCCTATTATGTTGGACATTGTCTTCTGTGTTGGCATCGATATGTTCTGGTCTTGTCCTTACTCTCATGGTGGGTAGAGTAAATAGTTCCGTGATTTGGGTGCTCATGGTAGGTCGCTCTATTCTTATGTGAATTGCCTCAAGAATTTGTAATCTTCTTGAATCTTGGGTTTTGTCTATTATGCAAGTATTCTTGTTCAACATTTCTCTTGTTAGAGTAATGTCATGGGCTTGTCTCATGTGATTCCTAGGGGCACCAGATTGAAGATGGCATGTCAAACGCCTCGTCAGCTTGGTCGACGTCATACCTATGTACTTACATTGAAGGTTACATCCTTCGTGGGGGCAAGTGTACATGTATACAACGCTTGACTGCTGTAGAGGGTTCTCCGTCGGCTTCGGGCTGTTTTTGATAAGGAGTTCGGAAGTCTTCTTGGTTTTGTAGAATATTATCAGGTTTATGTTTTGGTTAGGAGTAGTGCTTTTTACTCCTTTACGGATTATTTCTTTCATTATTCTTTCCTCTTTTTTATATTCACTGTGCATGGTTGATTTGTAATATAATTTTATTGGAGGTATTGTGGTTTCTGTTCTAGGTTCTGGATTATACCAACGGTCCAAGTGTCTTCTTATAGCAGCGTTTATTTCCGCGTTGCTATATCCGTTGTTCACCAATACCTGAGTTACTCTTTCAAACTCTCTACTCACGTTGCTCCATTCAGAGCAGTGGGTAAGCACTCGACGAATATAAGCATTGAGAACACTGGCTTTGTATCTTTGGGGGCACTCACTTCTACCGTTCAGGCATAATCCTATGTTGGTGGGCTTGGTATATACGTTGGTGCTTAAAGAGGTTCCTGTTTTTGTTATTAGTACATCCAAGAATGGCAGACTGTTATTTTCACTATTTTCATGTGTAAATCGGAGTACTGACTCTCTCTCTCTAGATGGCTTTTTAGATCAATTAGTTCATCTGAGTCTTTTTACTATGACGAATATGTCATCTATATAACGGCAGTATACAGTTGGTTTTTATTTGCTACTGAAGACTCTATCTTTGATGGTTCCCATATAAAAATTAGCAAATAAGACTCCTAAGGGGGAGCCCATTGCTACTCCGTCTATTTGTAGATTCATGTCCCCTTGTGGACTGATGAAAGGGGCTTCCTTTGTACAAGCTTCGAGAAGACTCTTCAAGTGTGGCTCAGGTATGTCTAATTTGGGGGTGCTCTCGTCTCTGTATACTCTGTCCAGTATCATTCCTATGGTTGTGTCGACTGGGACGTTGGTAAAAAGGGATTCAACGTCCAGGGAAGCGATGATACCATCGGGCTGGGTAGATTTGATTAATTCTAGGAAATCTGCTGATGATTGTAGACTATAGTTGCTTGGAGTGTATGGAGTTAGGAGTTCATTAAGTCTTTTTGCCAAGTGATAGGTTGGAGTTGGTATTTGGCTGATTATTGGGCGTAGTGGGTTACCTGGTTTATGTGTCTTAACATTGCCATAGGTATATCCTAAGCCATTGTCGCCTTGGACTATATATATATATATATATATATATATATATATATATATATATATATATATATATATATATATATATATATATATATATACATATATATATATATATATATATATATATATATATATATATATATATATATATAAATAAATATATATATATATACATATATATAAATATATATATATATAAACTGAAAAATGCTGCTTTGGTCCTTGCAGTGTTTAAGAGGCAGGATGAAACAGGAAACAGATCAACAAACAATTAACTTTACTCTAATAATAATAAATGTTTCCTGCAGACACTCGGCTGTTATAATATTACAAACAAAACAAGTAGAGGAAACTCTTAATATAATAATATTCTGATGAGCTGAAGACATTCACCACAGCGTCCGACACACGACGTAGCCTGGTAGCAGACGACGGGTGGAAGGAGCTACGATGACCCGTAGAGCACCTGAGAGACTGGCTTCCATGACCCGTAGAGCACCTGAGAGACTGGCTTCCATGACCCGTAGAGCACCTGAGAGACTGGCTTCCATGACCCGTAGAGCACCTGAGAGACTGGCTTCCATGACCCGTAGAGCACCTAAGAGACTGGCTTCCATGACCCGTAGAGCACCTGAGAGACTGGCTTCCATGACCCGTAGAGCACCTGAGAGACTGGCTTCCATGACCCGTAGAGCACCTGAGAGACTGGCTTCCATGACCCGTAGAGCACCTGAGAGACTGGCTTCCATGACCCGTAGAGCACCTGAGAGATTGGCTTCCATGACCCGTAGAGCACCTGAGAGACTGGCTTCCATGACCCGTAGAGCACCTGAGAGACTGGCTTCCATGACCCGTAGAGCACCTGAGAGACTGGCTTCCATGACCCGTAGAGCACCTGAGAGACTGGCTTCCATGACCCGTAGAGCACCTGAGAGACTGGCTTCCATGACCCGTAGAGCACCTGAGAGACTGGCTTCCATGACCCGTAGAGCACCTGAGAGACTGGCTTCCATATGACCCGTAGAGCACCTGAGAGACTGGCTTCCATGACCCGTTGAGCACCTGAGAGACTGGCTTCCATGACCCGTAGAGCACCTGAGAGACTGGCTTCCATGACCCGTAGAGCACCTGAGAGACTGGCTTCCATGACCCGTAGAGCACCTGAGAGACTCGCTTCCATGACCCGTAGAGCACCTGAGAGACTGGCTTCCATGACCCGTAGAGCACCTGAGAGACTCGCTTCCATGACCCGTAGAGCACCTGAGAGACTCGCTTCCATGACCCGTAGAGCACCTGAGAGACTCGCTTCCATGACCCGTAGAGCACCTGAGAGACTGGCTTCCATGACCCGTAGAGCACCTGAGAGACTGGCTTCCATGACCCGTAGAGCACCTGAGAGACTGGCTTCCATGACCCGTAGAGCACCTGAGAGACTGGCTTCCATGACCCGTAGAGCACCTGAGAGACTGGCTTCCATGACCCGTAGAGCACCTGAGAGACTGGCTTCCATGACCCGTAGAGCACCTGAGAGACTGGCTTCCATGACCCGTAGAGCACCTGAGAGACTGGCTTCCATGACCCGTAGAGCACCTGAGAGACTGGCTTCCATGACCCGTAGAGCACCTGAGAGACTGGCTTCCATGACCCGTAGAGCACCTGAGAGACTGGCTTCCATGACCCGTAGAGCACCTGAGAGACTGGCTTCCATGACCCGTAGAGCACCTGAGAGACTGGCTTCCATGACCCGTAGAGCACCTGAGAGACTGGCTTCCATGACCCGTAGAGCACCTGAGAGACTGGCTTCCATGACCCGTAGAGCACCTGAGAGACTGGCTTCCATGACCCGTAGAGCACCTGAGAGACTGGCTTCCATGACCCGTAGAGCACCTGAGAGACTCGCTTCCATGACCCGTAGAGCACCTGAGAGACTGGCTTCCATGACCCGTAGAGCACCTGAGAGACTCGCTTCCATGACCCGTAGAGCACCTGAGAGACTCGCTTCCATGACCCGTAGAGCACCTGAGAGACTCGCTTCCATGACCCGTAGAGCACCTGAGAGACTGGCTTCCATGACCCGTAGAGCACCTGAGAGACTGGCTTCCATGACCCGTAGAGCACCTGAGAGACTGGCTTCCATGACCCGTAGAGCACCTGAGAGACTGGCTTCCATGACCCGTAGAGCACCTGAGAGACTCGCTTCCATGACCCGTAGAGCACCTGAGAGACTGGCTTCCATGACCCGTAGAGCACCTGAGAGACTGGCTTCCATGACCCGTAGAGCACCTGAGAGACTGGCTTCCATGACCCGTAGAGCACCTGAGAGACTGGCTTCCATGACCCGTAGAGCACCTGAGAGACTGGCTTCCATAACCCGTAGAGCACCTGAGAGACTGGCTTCCATAACCCGTAGAGCACCTGAGAGACTGGCTTCCATGACCCGTAGAGCACCTGAGAGACTGGCTTCCATGACCCGTAGAGCACCTGAGAGACTGGCTTCCATGACCCGTAGAGCACCTGAGAGACTGGCTTCCATGACCCGTAGAGCACCTGAGAGACTGGCTTCCATGACCCGTAGAGCACCTGAGAGACTGGCTTCCATGGGTTGCAGTTTTTTTTTATATTTCGGTGGGTGATGATGTCACGTCTTGTCAATGTGAGCAGTAACGAGCGCCTGGTGTAACTGCTAGTTTGCGCCTGGTGTAACTGCTAGTTTGCGGCTGGTGTAGCTGCTAGTTTGTGGCTGGTGTAACTGCTAGTTTGCGGCTGGTGTAACTGCTAGTTTGCGGCTGGTGTAGCTGCTAGTTTGTGGCTGGTGTAACTGCTAGTTTGCGGCTGGTGTAACTGCTAGTTTGCGGCTGGTGTAACTGCTAGTTTGCGGCTGGTGTAACTGCTAGTTTGTGGCTGGTGTAACTGCTAGTTTGCGGCTGGTGTAACTGCTAGTTTGCGGCTGGTGTAACTGCTAGTTTGCGGCTGGTGTAACTGCTAGTTTGCGGCTGGTGTAACTGCTAGTTTGTGGCTGGTGTAACTGCTAGTTTGCGGCTGGTGTAACTGCTAGTTTGTGGCTGGTGTAACTGCTAGTTTGCGGCTGGTGTAAACTGCTAGTTTGCGGCTGGTGTAACTGCTAGTTTGCGCCTGGTGTAGCTGCTAGTTTGTGGCTGGTGTAACTGCTAGTTTGTGGCTGGTGTAACTGCTAGTTTGTGGCTGGTGTAACTGCTAGTTTGTGGCTGGTGTAACTGCTAGTTTGTGGCTGGTGTAACTGCTAGTTTGTGGCTGGTGTAACTGCTAGTTTGCGCCTGGTGTAACTGCTAGTTTGCGGCTGGTGTAGCTGCTAGTTTGCGGCTGGTGTAACTGCTAGTTTGCGGCTGGTGTAACTGCTAGTTTGTGGCTGGTGTAACTGCTAGTTTGCGCCTGGTGTAACTGCTAGTTTGCGGCTGGTGTAACTGCTAGTTTGCGGCTGGTGTAAACTGCTAGTTTGCGGCTGGTGTAACTGCTAGTTTGCGGCTGGTGTAACTGCTAGTTTGCGGCTGGTGTAACTGCTAGTTTGCGGCTGGTGTAAACTGCTAGTTTGCGGCTGGTGTAAACTGCTAGTTTGTGGCTGGTGTAACTGCTAGTTTGCGGTTGGTGTAACTGCTAGTTTGCGGCTGGTGTAACTGCTAGTTTGCGGCTGGTGTAAACTGCTAGTTTGCGGCTGGTGTAACTGCTAGTTTGCGGCTGGTGTAACTGCTAGTTTGCGGCTGGTGTAACTGCTAGTTTGCGGCTGGTGTAACTGCTAGTTTGCGGCTGGTGTAAACTGCTAGTTTGCGGCTGGTGTAACTGCTAGTTTGCGGCTGGTGTAACTGCTAGTTTGCGGCTGGTGTAACTGCTAGTTTGCGGCTGGTGTAACTGCTAGTTTGCGGCTGGTGTAACTGCTAGTTTGCGCCTGGTGTAACTGCTAGTTTGCGGCTGCACCACAGTTGTTAGAGGCTGTATAACTGCTAATTAGAGGCAGTACACTTCACTACACTCCTAGTTTGAAATAAACTGCTAGGTTTCCGGAGGCACTCCGCCTGCCAGTGAGCCATATGAGGCACTGGGTAGTACGGGGTGGTGGAACGAGGTGGCAGGTCCACACGTTTCTGTGTAGAGGTGAGATGAACGTGAGTGGAAGAGGCAGTTCCACTGCTATGCAGGGGATTTACGTCACAACATGAAATCAATATAATTAGACAATGTGTTTGCTAATACCCAGCCCGTGCCCCCAGGTGACGTACACATGCCCCGGACAGACCACCGGTACCGGATACTTCGCAGACTATACAACCACCAAGACGTCTGTCTGTCAGGGTGACCACACCTGGCTTCCTGACCCGAGTACTTTCCTTCGCTGTGTTGGTAAGTTGGGACGGGCGGGGAGCGTCCTGTCACAGGTACTCCACCTACACCCCTACAACCACCAGTGTCCCCCCTACACCCCTACAACCACCAGTGTCCCCCCCTACACCCCTACAACCACCAGTGTCCCCCCCTACACCCCTACAACCACCAGTGTCTCCACCTACACCCCTACAACCACCAGTGTCCCCCCCTACACCCCTACAACCACCAGTGTCTCCACCTACACCCCTACAACCACCAGTGTCCCCCCCTACACCCCTACAACCACCAGTGTCTCCACCTACACCCCTACAACCACCAGTGTCC